TATATTAATAAATTTATTTTTGTCGATAAAAGAAAAGAAAAGAAATGAAAAGAAATGAACCCTAGAACTGCGCGCCAGAAGGACCCTCCAATCCAAAATAAGAGCGCGTAAGCGATGATGACGAGAAGGCTCAACGGACAATAATTGAGGAGACAAACGAATCCATTTCAAACAATCAGAGATTGAATATCAGAATTTTTTTTGGGAGACAAGTACAATCAGTTTCCATAAATTATGTGTAAAAGTTTCTCTTTTTTTTTTCTTTTTTTTTTTTCTGTTTGTGAATAATTACTTGTGAAGGTTAGAAGGGAATTTTACTTCTAGTGATAGTGAAGGCTAGTTAATTAATGTAAACAAGAATGAAAGAAATACGCAACGGCAATGCAATAGAGAGACACCACCATATATAGAGAGCTCAGTACCACCAAATTCTGCAGCCTTCAAAAGAGAGGTGGAGATTAGGCTATCAATGACAGGCTATGGTGACTGAGAAGCCATGGTGAGTAACAAGCAGGTAATATTCAATGGTTTCATCTCCGGTTTTCCAAAAAGAATCGGACATGTATGTCACTACTGGCACTGTAAAACTAACGGTCTGAAGCTACCAGAACGTTCAAGAGCAGTTCTTGTGAAGAACCTTTACTTATCATGCGACCCTTATATGCGAATCTTGATGAAACCCCAAGATGGCAGCTGTGGTTCAGTCTCAGTTATATATTGCAGGTCTGGAGAGCGGTCCTGCTGCTCTGGTAGGGCTCTTTAATGGCCGGAATGTGGGAAAACAGATTGTCACAGTTCCACAGGAATAAACAGCCAGCCTTGTCGGCTCAAGTGTCTACACTATTTATGTGAATGGATGTATTTTCTTCTGGAATAATAAGCAAATAATATTGCATACTATCAACGTTTAGATTTGACTAACAGTTATATGCTGATCAAAACGCCTAAACCACACAGACTAAGTTTCGATAGGCATGGAAAAAACTATATCTTGAATAACAAATTAAAATAATTATTTTGTTTTTTTAGAATGAAACGGTAAAATCAAAAGTTTAAATTATATTTCTAACAATATTATATTATAGATTTTAAAATACTTGCAACATAGGTATAATGCAAAATAAAAATAAAATCTTCATGCTCGCAAGCTGTCTATACAGAGTAAATATTCCTATTGAAAGCAATCCCAGAAAGTCTCGGATTAAAGAGGAAGTGAATATCCACGAAGATACTTAGAATCCACACCTGACTCTCGTGCCAATGCCACCCGTCCTGTTCGTGCTACCTATATTCAGAGAACATGCAGTTTCTTCAAAATAAATATCATGAAGTTTCTGCTAGACATGGAAGCTAAATGATAGAATGCATTGTTATACTCTATAGATGAGACTACTGACTCTTATCATTCGTTGAAGATCTGTAAACAAGAAAACAAACCTCGCAAATTCCATAGGGCTCAAGCAGTCTTTGTATAGCTACCATCTTGTCCAGATCTCCAGTAAGCTGTAGCAAGCATTTTAAACCTAAATTGTCAGTATCATCAATCAAAAAGATTAACTTGTCACTCATTCCTAATAATAAATTCTTTTTTTTTCATTAACGTGGCAGAAGACTTTTTCTAAAGAATGACCCTTGGGAAGCTAAAGAACACTAATAAAGGGATCCTTTAACAACCACATAAAACTTCTGTTCTGCTTTCTAAACAAAGGGGTTCACAATTTCGAATGTTAAGGGTTGATATGAAGTTACAACACTTTGTCATGTGCATTTCTCACAGTTGAAAGTTTGAAGAGCCAAAGTAAGCTAAGACAAGGGGTAAAATAATTGGCATGTTCAAGAAAAATATCAAATTCTTCGAATTTGTGAATTATGTTTCCTGAAAGAAGTAGATGAGATATATAATATGATAATGCTGTGCAAAACTCAATGCTTAAAAATGCTGACCTCAAGAGTGACTGTGTGGTCAGACACATCAACAGCCTTGCCCCTAAAAATGTTGGCAATGTCAAGTACATCTCTTCTAGCAGCAGCATTCACAGCAACCTTTATCAGCATTAACTCTCGTTCAGCAAAAGGCAAGTGGGTAAGATCCCAAACCTAAGAAGTTAAAACTAGCAGTCAGCCATTGGTTCACAACAGACATCATATATGCAGAAATTGTAACCGCGACCCATCAGACATCAAATACCCATAAATTTTAACCATGACCTATCAAATAGACTTGATACTATACAAATCCTGATGAATAACAGTAGTTACATCAGTTACAAATGTGAGCAGATAATAAGTGCAATATTCATACGACACGTTGCAAGAAAACCAATCATGCTTCATTTAAGAACACTTCAGTATTTATATCGATGAAGTAATTATAAAGCCAACAAGAAGGGAAGCAGAAAATGAATGAACAAGCTTGTATGCATTTAACCTGTAAAATATAAAATTGAGGATGATCTGATGATAGTGAAGGGAAAGCTTCAAAATTGCAATTATAAAATCTATTGCCTCTCAGAAACTCATTCCGGATAGTATCTAAAGCACCCAGACTCAATAGCATCTAAAGGATAAACAAGCTAAAATGAGGCGAGGAGCATGTCACTCCATCTCAAACTATTCTAGTAATCTAGTTAAATTATCTCGGAAACCAATATGAGTAAGCAGCTGTGATCTTTAACCAATGAAGTTTCTCAATTCCTCTCAATTGGTATACAGACGCTTTTATGTGGAAAAATACTTTTGCCTATTTATGCAATGGGTTTATTCCTAGTAGCTTTCTCACCTCATGCAGATCTACTAGCTTATAGAGTTGCTGTGTCAATTTGCTAATTGATTCATCTGTACCAGGGACAACAGTTGTGATGCGTGAGAGTCCCTCACCTTCTGCATGTCCCACAGCCAAACTCTGGTGATGGGATACACAATGCAAAAACACAATGGGTGAGTGACCTTAAAAAAAAGAAGCTAAGAGATGAGAGGGTACAATAACAAAAACAACCTGAATATTATATCCTCTTCTTGCAAAAACCCCTGTCACAATGTTAAGAACTCCTGGAGAGTCATTTACAAGCATGGATAAGGTATGAGATCGAAGCCCACTTGTCTGAAAAATTTTAACACAAACAATTATGTTAGTCTATACAAAAGACTAGCCTGTTCCAAACAGAAATCGTAACTTCTAAGGCAATGCTAGCTCAACAGTACATTGAGATAGAAGAATTTGTACAATTCAACCAATTGCTATGCTTAAGTTTAAGATTAATAGATAACCTATTATCCTTAATACAACAAAACTCTGCCAAAGCTCTTAAGAAATAAGGACTCTCTCCCTTTTGATAAGACACTGACACTGGGGAGAAACTGAGAAAGGCTTCAAATATTGCAAAGACTGTCAAGTTTCCAACCGGAAATATAGTATTGAAAATTTCTGAGCAGACATTGCTAAGAATGATAATTGGGTAAAATAATAAGAATAGGTAGTCAATCAAGCTTTAAATCAAATTGAACCATCTATAACGTCAAATTGGTGGCTAGCTCATGTAGCCTTAAAAGCTTTTGGGTTTTTTGGAGGGGGGGTGGGTATGGGAATTCAATCAGCTGTAAGTTTCTTACATCCTCATCATTGAGAACACCCCAGTGAGCATCAAGAACTTGATTGACTGCAAAGCTATCAGCTGACTCCACTGGATAAACATCACCCTTCATGAACAGAAAAAAAAAAAAAAATTATATCAACCCAAAATTCATAGCACAGTTAAACATAAGTAATAGATTATAAGAGGGTGGAAAGGCACTGGGAACAAAGAACTTCAGAGCATTAATAATCATGACAAAAGGACATCAGAGAGAAAGAGATAGTGCTCAAATTAAAATCAGATATCACAAGGAGAACACTTTCCAGAGATGACATATCAACTGAAGTCAAAGGGTTAGACACTTTGATGCAGGATGAGAATCACTGAAATGCTTAGTCTGCCTCATTATATTTGCTCTTCTAGGGGTGACAGGAGTACTTTATGCAATTTTTTTTCATTTATTTTCATTTTTTAGGTCACATTAGGGGTTGGTATACTGTATATAAGTTTATAAATATGAGATGACTGATGAGAAATCATCACTATGCCATTCCTAAATAATTCAATGATTTTTCTTTAAATTCCTTTCTCTAGTTTTCTGATCCAATTTTACAATACTTTTGGTTCACACTTAAGTATTATTTACTTAACAAGCTTCACCTGATTCATGTATCCAAACACTTCATCATTGAAAAAACAAAAGAAATTTAAATTCAACATATAAACAAATGAGCATGTCAAAACCTTGATTTAACTTTTTAACATGTCCCAAAAAGTCAGTCAGAGACTTAGAAATACAGGATCACTCATGATCAACATGCATAGCATCATTCATAAAGGAAAATAATAATATTCCTTGCTACAAAATTGAATGCGAGTCTGCAAGAAAGTCATACCCCTCCAGAGACATCAGTCTCTGTGAAGACTACTTTATCTCTGGCTCCAGCAAGAGCATTGACAGCCATTGTCTCTTCAAGATCTGGATATGATGCAGCTGAGAATCGCCAGAATGGAGCAGATGCACCCATCTTTTCCCTTCTCAAGGCAATCTACTTGGAGAAAGATAACAAACCATAAGCAAATAAATTGCTTCTAATTAAACAAATTGATGATTAGAGTTTTAACAAGACCCATTGCAGCCCAAAACCGAAACTTTTGGGAACAGTAAATGTGTGGTTACATAACAACCAAGAAAAATAAAACTAGTAAACCACTATCAACTAGAAAAATTTTATCAAATAATTTAAAGAGAAGCTTATAGACCTTTCCGGTTCTGGCAATTTCCTTGATTCCAAACTTGCTTAAATTTCTTTGCACAGCAGCCATCTTCCCGGGATCTCCAGTCACCTGCATTAAAGAGATTACAGATAACTCATGTCATACCTAACAAAACCACGACCACACAAATAACCAGAAAAAGCCACTCACCCAATTTTGCCTCCACCTCATTATAACTAACATAACCACTTGGAATTCAAAATCTGCCCTTGTGACCCTAATGCATACTTGGAATTAATAGCACATCAAAAGGAGGGTATAAATTTTGTCTGCCAGTGCTTACCTCAATTGTTAGCAAGTGATCTGAAATATCCACAATTCTTGCCCTGAAGATGTCCACCAACCACATAATCTGATAAACCAAGACACATTTAACCATAAAATTGCAAAAGAAAGTATAAAAACTGCTTCAGAACATTCAACTCTTAACATTCCAAAAAATCACTTGAACTACCTCAGCACGGTTCATTGGGTCTGCATTCACTTTTATAAGCATTAGTTCACGTTCTACCTGGGGCTCATTTGATAGATCTTCAACCTACTCATCAGATTAAGAGTGCCAATTGGAGAAATTAAACAATAAATCAATTTTCTAAGAAGGTAGTAAAGAAAGAAGAAAAGAAAAAGGAAGTAATCACTCCAATGCTCAATTAACATTGAAAAGAAACAGACATCGGGGTTATTTGGTATAATAGTTTGAAACTAGCAGTTAGCGGTTTCATCTAATCTAACAATTAATAATTATTGTTATCAATGATTCAAACACTCTTGTCCATTGGATTATTAATAACAACAATTATTAACTGACAAATTAGACAAAACTGCTAACCACTAGTTTCAAACCACTATACCAAACAGCCCCATCATTGGATAACAAATAACCATATTATTCATTTATCATTATCTAACTGACATCTGAAATCTTAAATTTTGATAGCTACAAGTACGTTCTTTATCACCAATAAAAATGGTTATTATACTTCAAAAGATGAAAAGGACTGTACTTATTAAAGAATAAAGTTCCTGGTGCAACAAAGCTTACTATCCCCTCAACAAAAGATAAACTTGTGTTAGAAATAGAGTGGAAATTCTAGGGTAATATTGTACCTTCAAAACATTCACAAGTTTCTGTAGCTGCTCCATAACTTGTCGCAATACCCTTTCAGTTCCAGAGACAACTATGGTGAAGAGTGCCTTGTCTTTGTTGAGGCCAACAGCAAGGGATTCAATGTTGTACCCTCTCCTTGCAAAGACACCCGCAATCCGATTTATCATTCCACTTTCATCCCCAACAAACACCGAAATTGTGTGCCGTCTCACCCTTGAGTAAATACAAAAGGGAGCAACAGAACTTAAGGATTTGAATCAAAGCAAAGCAAAGCCAGCTTAATACTTTTTGATTACTCTTAATTTGAAAATCAAACCACCATGCTCAATAAAAACCCAAGAAACTCTGCCAGCAGATCAACATTCATCAGCCCCTAGGCTAAAAGAACATTTAACCAGAACATTGAAAATGACTTACTTAGTTCAAGCTGAAAAATCACAAATTTTATCCCATACATAACATCAACATACACCCTTGAACTCAAAAATGAATCTTTACATAAAAATCACTACACAATCCCTTAACATTCAAATTCATATAATGCCTAGACTAACAGCAGTACGTTACATATACATATAGAAGAGTGAATAACATACTTTGATCGAGTAGTTGTGGGAGAAACAGAACCGTTGGCAGGGGAGGCACCGTCAGTGATCTTCTCATCGACATTTCTCACAGAGACCACCAATTTTGAGGCGCTGTAGCTGGTGGCTCTTGACGCCGGACTAATTCGAATCCTCGCCGGGAAACATGTGGAGCTCAGCGAACCTATACTGCCTGTAGAATCTGAGAACGGCAGCAGGCAGTGTATTCGCTGGCACAGTGCCGATGGCGCCGCCATGATAGAGCAGAAAAATGAAGAGAAACAAACTGATTTAAGGGATTCTAGGATTTCGGTCCATATATTGTACAGTTTTGTTGCTGGGAATTTTGTTTAACCCTTGCTTTGTTAGGAGTAATTAATTTTGTTAACATTTTTAATCTTCAATGGCATGATATGGAGACCTTCAGTTATCCCTCATCCTACTTTAACTTGTATAATATGTACGATACAAAATAAGTATGTTTTATAAAATTTAGTAGAGACTTTAATTTAGTGTTAAGTTTTAGTTGAAAACTCTATTATCAATTAATTCACTTAATTTATATAATATATAATT